TTTGGTCCATTTCTCTAACCGTCATTAAAAAGTCCCATAAATGATGGACATTTTTGTTGTTTTATCGAATTTGTCTTTACCCAATCCAAATTGATTTTACGATTAGTCTCTATGGTCTTTGACTGAGTAAATGACAAAAAGAATTTTAATAAAAGAACGAAAATGCCCCTCATTTATCAATAAAAAAATTAACAACCTTTAAAAAGATATAGTAAAAATAACTAAGGGGCCGTTTACCAAACGCTTACCCAGATAAGCGTTTACCAAGTAACATTACCTCACCACATGAATATGGTAAAGACCAAGAATCTTACCCGGTAAGAGCGAGACAAGGACCAAGAGTCTTATCCAGTAAGTGAGGGCGACGACTCTTACCACGGTAAGCGCTTAGCAGGTAAATTGTTGTATACTATGTCGTTTTAGTGGACTAAAATGCTATCCGATAAGTACATAATAGCATTAATTTTACCGGTAAACACTTATCGGGTATATATTTGATAAACGGTCCCTAAGAGTTATTGACCTAAAGGCCCTTTTGCCGTGTTTCCCTTTCTTCATTGCGACAATTCCATCAGCTTAGTATTCCAGTGCGTGATCATTTCCACTTTTGCTTTGTAACAGTAGGAGTAGAAGGGGTTACTTTTGACAATTGGATCACTTTTTCAACTTAACAGTGAAGGAAAATAAAGAGAGAGAGGTCACGTGAGAAGAAGTAGAAGTCACGTGGCCTGCATTAATTCATGCAAATATGTACATTTTAACAAATGAAAATATCAATAAATGACACTGGGGTTTGTTTTTTTTCATAAGGTGGGGATGTTTTTTGGTTTCCTGTGTCTTCTTGTTGGCTCAAGTTTCGAGTCATTGCCTTTCTTCTATCTTTCTGTTTTCTTTCATGTGTAGATGGTAGCTTTTGATTTCACTGATTCACATGTGAATTAAACGGGTTCATATAAAAATACAGTATCATAAGAAAAGGGGAAGTTTTTTTAAAGAAAATTACATTCACTTTTAACAATGACTTTAATTGGCATATGTTATTTTAAGAAATAAAGAAGATGATCAAGATTGAATTTGACTGGTGAAGAATTTGTAGATTAAACTAGTTAAATTTTATGGCTATGAAAAAAAAAATAGAGAGGGTAGTTTCGTAACTTTTATAAAAAAAATTGGCAAATGAGTTCATATGTGAACCGTGTGATTCACCTATGAATTACATATTCATATGTAAACCTGTGTAATTCACATATGAACTATTTTAACTGATTACATATGAATATGTGATTCATATTTGAACTAATTAACTAATTTACATATGAACTAATTAACCGATTCACATATAAACTAATTAACTGATTCACATGTAAACTAATTAACGGGTTCGCATATGAACATATAGTTCATATATGAATCACACAGGTTCACATATGAACTCGTTTGCCGCTCACTTGTAAAAGTTACGAAACTACCTCTTTATCTTCCGCATATTCATGCAATAAATTATCCGGTATTTCACAGTTAAAGTCGTAAATAGTGACCAGATAAAGAGTTAAGATCACTTCTTTATTACATTGAATAAAATATTATTATTTCTCTCTCTCATACATTATTTCTAATATATGTTATTGATGGGGAATAATTTAAACACTATTTCTTTTTCCTATATCACTATACCATATAGAATAGTCGTTGGAGCATTAAACTTTTCTAAATCATTAAAATTTCTATTACAGCATCAGTGTCGAAAATGCACAAAGATTCATATAAAATTTTTATTTTGTAATAAGTACGTAAGTTTCTATATTTTCAGTTAACTGATATGATACTTAAAATAGTTGATAAGACGTATTATCTGAAGATGAGAATTTTGAAGACGTTCAACCGTTAAACTAGAATAACTAACGAAACTTTAAAGTTTATATAATCAACAACTAACTTTATGTGTTGCAAAATCATTACGATAAGTTTTTTAGACGACTCCGCCTAACAAATTATATACTTAGTTGCTATTAAAACGAAGTTGGATAAATAGTAGAATATTTCTAATGAATTTTCTGAATTAGAAAAAATTGAGATTTTGGGTATTTCAAGCCAATTTTTTGCTCCTACCGATTCTTCAAAATGAAAAAAACAAAAGAAGATAACTCTTTAAAAATCATTGCTTAAGAAAGAAAAAGAATAATTATCCCACCAAGTAAGATGCCATTAAATAAAAATATATATATATATATATATATATATAGGGGCCTATTCAAGGAAGAACTGAGTTGTTTGTGGTAACTGTGAGAACCAATATTAACCACAAGTCAATAGATAAATTAGGAAATTTATAAATTTGGTAATTTTAAATTAAAATCTTAATGCAAGGATATTTTTGGTATTTTAAAACTCTCCTCTCTCCT